TGCCAGTCTGCTGAAAACAGGAAGCATTAATACACCAATAAATTTCCTGTTTTGCTTACCCCTTACCTCCATCACCACGGTCCATGTTTGCTATTTTATTTATATTAGAAAAGAACTCCTCTCCTTTGTATAGTCAAAGATTGCAACTTCTTTTGCCTGGTTGCCTAGAAACACTCACTTGGTATTACGTGTTTCATCACATTTGCTTGCCAACTCACATGTTCAATTTTCAAAGCTGGAGAGATATTTGCAGAAAAATGAAAAAACAAACCAACAGAATTCTTTCTTGAGGGTGTATAAAGCATTTGCTTTTAATTTGCACTTTGCTTAGTTTTAGTTTACCAGTTTTCTTTGCAGTTTTCCACAGAAAATGTGACTAAATTTCATCGTTTACATGCAAGGTGTGTGAACTTGGATATAAATCTAATGAAGTCTGGATGCAGATAACATTTTAAAATGATTTACTATAAATAAACCTATTTAGGATAACTGACTGATTTTGTTTGCAGTGAAACTTAGCATAAAGCTGCAGGCTGTCTTGCTCTCTTGCTCTCTCTCTGGACATATGTGCATATTCTGTATGCACTGCTTGCTTATGTATGCATGTGTGTTGCTTCTCTCACAGTTATTCTTGCATACTTGACAAAACAGTGACCTAGTTTGCTGGACAGCTACAGTAAGTGGGTTTCTCTGTTTAAGTAATCTCATATCGCATCAGGGCCTCCTCTGCTTTGGTCATTTGGGAGGAACCCGATTGAGTGTTTAGTTGCATGACAATGGAATGTTGTGGAAAGAAAATGTTTTAACTATGAAGTACATAGTGGTATTTCCTTTCATAGATATGCTGTGAGTTGGCCTGTGTGTGTGCCTAGCTTTATGTGAATCTTATGCCAGCGCCCCAGGCTGTGTGGTGCCCTGCTGATGCCCAGGGCCACCATTCTGCCTCTTTACCCTCCCCAAGCAACATAGGGCCATGCATCTAGCATAGCTCTCCCCTCAGACAGAGTACCCTTTTTAGCTGCATTAACCACTAACAAATTTACACCAGCTTTGCTTTTGCTCAAAGAATGCTCAGATTTCTCACAGCAGATTGTTTGAGTTCTTTTGATGCAACATGTTTTTGAGCGCAGAAGTTATTTTGCTCACATTTTGTCCACATGCTCTCGGTTTGTCATGGCTTTCATAACTATGGACTGCGCTAAGGGGCAGGAGATGCAGCTGTCAAGCATTAACATGTCTCAAGATAGAAATATTTAGTAATATTTTATGCAGAATGTGCTGTTGAAATGGTCAGCTGTGTTTTTGATGGATGTTTTGGCTCCAACCGTACAGAATGTCCCAGATACAGAATCAACTGCATTTCTTCCCAGACAATCATTACCACTTAAGCCCAGATGTCCTTAGGATTTTTATCCTTAGTAGCCCTTTGTTAATTTTTCTACCAAGGGAAGACTGTTTGCTATTCAAAGTGTTGAAGCTAATCATTCTCTTGCTCAGATTTGATCTCATATAATGTTTTTATTCTAAGCAATTATCTATGCTATCTTGTTGAGAATTCAAGACATTCTCATGAAAAGTGCATAGAAATTAATTAATCTTAAAATAATGTTTTTATTCTACGAATTGACAGAAAATGTCTTTATTCATATTGAGCATATCAGTGTTAATGTTCAAAGATGTCCGTACACGTGTTTGTATCTGGGCTCCTGCATGTATTGAATCATCAGGAGCTTTAGGTAAAGGAATGCCTGCGCTGTGGCAGATGGTTGGCATAAACCTGGCTGCATCTCCCTTCCTCTCCATGAGTACACCACCCACATGGCTGCCAACTCTCCCACGTGTTTATTTTTCCTCCCAGGGCTCCAATCTGCACACTGTTTGCTGAGAGGAAAATCACTCCTCACCTCAGCCCTCTCTCTGAGGCTTTAGCTTCATATATAAGGATCTTTAGCAGCAATCAAACCAGTATCCACATTACTAACTGGTCCTGGGTTTAAGCTGTGCTTTCAGGCTGAATAAATGTGGTTTTGTCTTAGAAAGAAGAACCGCCACTAGCTGAAAAGAAACACAGAATGATGCAAATTTAAAGGAGATTACAAATGCCCCATTGCTTCCAAAACCAAGAATAATTTTGTTACAACAACCCTGGAAAACCTAATTTTAGTTTTGAGGTTTAGAGATAGAGCATAAAGCATCAGTGGTATTACATCTGTAATGTTGTTCCTACATTTTGAGTCATACCTCTATGAGCAGTTTTAGGTTTCTGGACCTGCAATTGCTTCAAGCCTGCTGTGGAGGGGAAACACCATGAGTAATGTATCATTAGCAAACTGGGAGGTTGCTGATGAGGGGAAATTAGTACAGGTGCAACATGCTGTTCTGTGCTCTTATCTTGGCAAAAAGCTGCAGCAGTTTTTTTCTAACCTGTGCACTAAAAGCAGAACACATCCTCTGGTTCTGGCCTAAATCCACTGGCTACCTGGGTTTTTTATTGTCTTCATTTTATATGTTTAAATGACTTTGCCCTTCCTTACCTCTGAAGTTCTTCCTTCCTACCTTCCTTATTGGTTATTTAGGTTGGCTTGACAGCAGCTCCTGCAGCTACCACGGTCTAAGAGGAAGCTTAGATGGGGCAAATACTTTTTCGTTGCTGCTCCTCATTTGTGGGATAACATACCCCTGTGCAAAAACTTGGCATTAAATATTTTAAAAAAAAATTTGGGGGGGGGGGGCTTTTAGCTCTAGAGGGACTTATTTTGACTTTGTTTGTTTTAAATTGTTCTTAATGTTTTATGTTCATATACATTTCACATATCTTTACAGTATGCAGCTTTATTCAGTACTTTATTTGTTGTTATATACAGTACATGCTATAAATAAAGCTGGTATGGTATGGTTAGGCAAATATAATCTGAGGGATTCAAGCAGAAATGCACAACAATGGTGTATTTCCCTTTCACTCTAAACTGGGCTTATAGCATTGCTGCTATTGTAAATTTCTATTTCTTCTCTTTTAAAATTAGTGGTGGATGTCAATTCATATTAAAAGGTTCATTCAATTCCAATTCTCAAGATTTAAAATTGATTGTTTTCAATCCAATCTGTTGCCTGAATTACATGTTGTTTTAGTTATGCAAAATATTGATACTAGTATTATGTTACATTTTTACAACAAATTAATACAAAGTAATGGTAGCTCAGACATTTCAGTTCAAATTTTCAAAAGTATTATTTTTTAACTGATCTTTGGCTGTATCAATCTATCTTTAGAAATTATTATGAGAGTCTTTCAGAATTGGAAAAATACAATACAATACAATTTCAATACATCCCTATTTGAAAATGTAGAATTTGTATCTTTACTGAAAGTAAAACTCATATCTTCATTTGATATCACAACATCAATACAATACAGTTTGGAGGTGTATATGTTTCTTCTTAGCCTAAAATGCTTGTTGAGAGCTCTCTATTTGATTGATAAGAGTAAGGTGCCTGAGTATTTGGTTCTCTTCATTTTTATCTCTGGAGATCGTGTTTTTTTTTTTTTTTTTTCATTTTCTTTTTTTTTGTGAGATTTTTTTTCTTTTCCATCCATAACACTTGATACATAAGGTTAAAAGAAATCAGGCAACATAAAACATAAATTTTATTCCTCTATCATTATTTGTGAATTTAATTATATTTACTCAATCTATATATTTTGTTGTCATTCATGTAATAATTTTCTGTATTTCCCCTCATAGTTTACTGAGTAGAGCAATCAGCTGATAATAGCTGCACTGGTACTCTGTTTGACCCAGTTCCCATGGCTCCTTGTTAACACCTTGGAGCAGAGGGACGATATTTTAATAACTGACATCACTGAAGTGTTGCTCTCAGTGATGCTTAATAAAAAGAGAAAATGTTGGAAATAATCTAGAACTCAGTAAACAAATATTTGCTTACAGCAATTTCCATAAAAATACCTTAGAGATCTGCTGTAGTGTATATCTTTCGAATATAAACGTTTCAGCATAAGCTGCTGATGTTCGCCTGTTAATGAATATTAGATGAACAAACAAAAGTCTGCCCCTTTCCTTTGCTTAAGATAGGTTCTCATTCATTATTTGCTGCTGAGATTGGCATGGTTCAGGCACAATTGCAGGAAGGGGGCTATGCAGTCAGGAAGTGGAAATGGAGAGAGAATATTTTTACTGCGAGGTGGATGCTGGGGGTAAGCAGGTGCGGTTCATTCAAGCGTTTTGCATTCCTGTGCTGGTCTACATGCTTTTTTTGATAATTAGGATTAGCGTACCTAAATTGTTCCTAATTCAGTTATTTAGTGCAAATTTAGTAAAAAAATATATATATATTTTACAACCCAAAGTGATTAGTAATGCTTTTTTTGTAAAAAATAAAAAAATCTTAATTGTTATAGGACTGAGGATATAAAACACTGCTATCTAAGCTGAGAACATTTATTTTGGACTTTCACTGGTTTGCTCTTTCCTGTGCTAATGACTTCACTCAGTTTTCCGACTGAGTGGCTTTATCAGCCCCATCGGGGTAGCAGCTCAGCTCTCATTCACAGCCTCACGTCACAGTCTATAAGCCCCTGCCTGCATCAATTACAGTGGGATGCAAAGCACCTCAGTAGGAAGTGGCATAATGAATCTATGGCTTTAGTATAATGTTGTTAAGTGGAGAATTAGATCATGAGTCAGATAGGCAGTTGGTAAACACTTGTGCTTATCTACCTTTGTGGGAATATGGGTGACCCATTTTGGAGCACATTTAAATCTGTTTGTATATAGTAACAAAGAGGAGGCAAAATGTAAATGAATATAATTAAATGTTAAAGTCATAGCTGTTAAAATTAAAAGCATCCCCTAGATATTATCTAAAATATGCTAGTTGCTATTGTTGGTTGTAATGAGTAGGTAACTGTTAAAGAAAAAAAAGGTTGTAATCAGTTGCTGGTGTCCTTATGGTCTCATAGTTTCAAACTTTCATTCATACAGGGCAGAAAAGACAGAGGTGCTGAGTGAAGATCTTCTACAGGTAAGCTGTGTTTCTAGCTATAAACTCATGGCTAAAATGGCATGAATTGAACTGAAAGAAGTCTTATATTTAAATCATATGAAGACTTCAAGATGTATTAAGACTTTGAAGAATTAAAATTTCAGATCAACTTAAATGCTCCCTAACACATTTGGCGGCAGATTTTAATTTGCTGACGAGATGCCTCTCCCCGACTGTCAGTCAGCTGGCTGAAAATAGGTGGCACTAACTTTAACCCTCACTTACAACAAAAATAAATCTGACTTTGACTTTGAAAATTTGACACTATAGACATTTATTTAAAGAATCAATGGGCCCTATCCTTAATTCTGCTATATTAATACTCTAGTTGGTAAGCTTTGAGCAGCAAACTAAATCTGGTGATAACAACCTCCAGCTTTAACTATCTAACGATCAAGCTAAATTCATCAGGTTGCACCAGTGTTTCTCTTGTAAAATGGAACGTAAACGCTCAAAACTATAAGAATAAAAGTTTGCCATTCTACCCTTTTTAAGAAACAGTGTAGATGATACAAAAAATAGTTTTTTGTTTTTCTGTCAAACTTTTTTTCAAATAAAGAGCTGATGGCTGCTCAACAGCCAAGGTGTGTGTAGCTTGCAAACACCTTTCTTATACTATTTTGGGTTTTTTTATTATTTGATTTTTGGGATTGGACTGTTTTACTTGTTGTTGAGTTCTACAAAAATAGAAACATCCTTTCTGGCTAGCAGTGTGTAATATTGTAGTGTTACAGTACTATATGTTCCAAAGAAATCTTTGTTTATTATGATACTTTTGATAGCATCTCATTAAAATGTGATGCCTGTAAACACATGCAGTATTGTTAAGCTTGCAAAGAAGTGGCAGATGTGTAGCCGTGAAAACAGGGTGGTGTCTGTGTTTCAACATTTGCATTCAGCTGTGTCCTGTGTGTGGTTCTCCTTGTATAGGTGGAGAAGCGTCTGGATCTAGTCAAGCAGGTGACACATAGCACTCACAAGAAACTGACTGCCTGCCTGCAGGGTCAGCAGAGCACTGACACCGAGAAGAAATCTGTCAAGTCACCTTCTGTGAGTGTCTGTCTCTCAGACCATGATTGTGTGATAACTGACAACAATGTCACTGAAATATGATCTCTCCCTGTCAGAAAAAGCTTCCCCTCAAAATCCTGGCCCAATGCATGGAGGAGGGAGCAGCAGTGTTAGGGGATGACTCTCTCCTGGGGTAACAATCTACTGCATATGCACATACTCATCCTTAGCTATCTTTCTTCATCAGCATATCCATTGATTGATTGCGTTTTCATGCAAATGACTTTGTCTTTGGTTGCTTTGTAACAGAAAGATGCTAAAGTTGTGTGGAGACACTGAAGATAAGTTGGCACAGGAGTTGCTGCAGTTTGAGCTCCAGATAGAGAGAGATGTGGTGGAGCCTCTTTATGTGCTAGCAGAGGTAAAACTGGCACAAGTTTTAACCTTTGCAATTTATTTCTCCTCCCCCATATAACAAACACTAATAATGTCTTCTGAAGGTTGATATTCCCAACATCCAGAAACAGAGGAAGCACTTAGCTAAACTTGTCTTGGACATGGACTCAGCACGAACAAGGTGACAGGCGTTTATGTTTATATCCCAGGCTGCAGTCTGCTCCTGTTAAAACATTGTTAAAACTCAAAGATCTGTTTTTTTCTTTTTTTTCTTTTTTTTTTTTTACCACAACAGATATCAGCAGTCATCTAAGTCATCCAGCCACCCAAGCACAATGCAGCCCGGCGCCAAGTCCGAGTCCCTCAGAGAGGAGATGGAGGAAACAGCCAATAGAATGGAAATTTGTAGAGTGAGTGTCCAGGCAGAGCAGATCATTAATCATGTTCTCTCCAGCTTCTTTTTCTCTCTGATTTATAAACTCTTCCAATGCATCAGACACTGATGTACCACATTCCGGTTCTGTTCTCTAATCTTCAGGATCAGCTGTCTGCGGATATGTACAATTTTGTGGCCAAAGAAATAGACTATGCAAACTACTTCCAGACTGTAAGTTCATCACACATTTAACTACTGATATATATTTTTTTACCCTAATAGAATCGCCCCATTATGCACTGTAATAAGATAAAGGAAAATGTCTTGCTAATGATTTGCACAAAAATTCCTTATATTTTACTTAATCCATCTTCCCTGAACTCTTTCACATTTCATTATCCCTGCTGAAAATAAAGGCTTGCAGCATGACTCTTCCTGCACTTTGTATTATTATCTTTTTTATGTGCCTTTTTTTATAATACATTATGTGGCCTATTTTGTGGAAAAATACTATGGATGTGGGGACCGACTGCTCCTTGTGGGGCCCAGTCCCTAGACTCCACACAGAGAATTACCGTTTTTGGGTCACAATAAAGCTGGGCGTACACTGTGTGGTTTTTTTCAAACGTTGCACACAGCTACAGCTAACACTGTACGACTAAACAGCAGGGTTTCATTGTACAGTGTGAGTTCACAGCTCACGATTTTATGTTCGACCTGACGCTCTGATGCGGTCTACCTGCTCACACTGTACGACTAAAAACCACGTCAGACTCAGCTCCGCAGTGAGATGGAGCTGCTCTGGCTCGTCTATACGGAAGCCAAACAAATAGAAGAGGAATATGAAGCTCAATAGAGTGAAATGCACTGCCTTGGCAATTTGTGCAATTTTGTGCTGAAAGCACTAAAAAGAAAAGGCAACAATGTATTTTGACAAAGACATGGCTGAGCAAACATGGCTACTTTGGTCTTTCAATTTTACAGAAAGAATTCCATTTCACTCATTGCACCCCCACCATGCTTCTGTGTTTACGAGAGGAAGAAGATTCTTTGTTCGCACATGCCCACTTTCTCCCGACCTCATGATTCCTGATCGGGAGGTGTTTGTTAGAGGCTGATCGCCCCTTGTTACCCCCGTATACTACACGACGCACAATCGGGACAAAAAGTTGTCCCGATCAAAAAATTCTTGCACGACTGGAAAATCGCACAGTGTACTCCCGGCTTAAGGTGCGAATTACATTTAGGTCGGGGTTAGGGTCATGTTTGGGCTGCAGAGATGAATGGAAGTTGATGAAAATGCCCTGCAAAGAGAGTGAGACAAGTTTGTTTGTGTGCATGTGGCCATATTTTTGTTACCTTGTAATATTCTATATTTGGGGACTTATAGGTACTTGTGGGGACCAACACCTGGTCCTCATGAGGATGGGTTAGGTATGTGTTGGTAAGGGTCTGGGTTAGCCCATAGAAATGGAAATGGGGGAAATGAATGGAAATCAATTGAAAGTTCCCACAAGGAGAGTGATACAACATATACGTGTGTTTGTTTGTGTCTACCGTGTAGAGAATTGACAGTTTCATGCTAAATAAGAGTTTGACATGTTGGCCAAATTTCCAAAAAATTATTAAAATCTTATATAACCCTGTGTGGTTTGTTGTATTGCTTTCTTTTAACCATGCCTTTCCTCCGGCCACCTTCCATTAAGAAGTAATTTGTGTTGAACGCCACTAATGGTAGGCAATGCTACTAGTTTTTGTTCCCCAACAATGGCTCTCTGCAGCAACTCCAGAATGACCATAGGGATTTTTTCCCCTTTATTCATTACTTCAATCTTTTTTTTCCATTGGTCTTTTTAAGACTTCCTATGAAAAAACAAAAGAATGTCTTGTTTTAATATAAGAAAATGTGGAAAAGTTTAAGGGGGTATGAATATTTTTGCAAGGCGTTATACATTTCTGCATACATTCTCACTATGGAAGGTTGTTTTTCACCTTTTCTCTTTCTCTCCTCTGTAGCTAATAGAAACACAGGCAGAATACCACAGGAAATCATTAGAAATTCTTCACGGTGTCCTGCCCCAGATTAAAGCCCACCAAGGTGAGTCATGAGGTGTCTGAGTGGGGATACGTTCTGTTTCTGTCCCTACAGTAAATATATATAATGGTAGCATATAAAAGAGAACTTAATTGCTCTGTCTCAACAACAACTTAATTTAATACTGTAAATTTGCTGCAGTAATTAAAGTTTACTGGCTTAAACAAAATATTAAAACTGGACACATTTGCATATTTTTCTCAAAGTTAGTCCAAAGATGTTTTCATGCATTAAAATCCGATTGATAAGCATGACAGATTTGCAACTTACAGTTTCTCACACTTGCGTTCTGCTCTGTTTTGCAGAGGCGTGGGTGGAGAAGCCATCGTTTGGCAAGTCTCTGGAGGAGCACCTGAATATTAGTGGGAGAGAGATTGCGTTTCCTATCGAGGCCTGCGTCACCATGCTGTTAGAGTGTGGTATGCAAGAGGAGGTACAGAACAAACACACCCACACACTCATACAAAACTTGCACCTTGTAGGTGAGAATAACTGTGTTTTGTTTGTTGCATGTGAAATACCCCCAAATGTATATCCCATTAGGATTACATTTAAAGGTCTGAACACATTCACATATATCTTGGTACTGATACGCTGGTGATGTTGGCTGTAGGGTCTTTTTAGAGTGGCTCCATCTGCATCCAAGCTAAAGAAACTGAAAGCTTCGCTGGACTGTGGAGTTCTTGATGTACAGGAGTACTCGTCCGACCCACACGCCATCGCCGGTAAGCTACACTGATGCAAATGCACATTCAGAGCCATTTTCATTTTTTTACTAAAATGAAACAAGAAAAAAATCTGTGAAAACAAAAAGATTTCTCCATCAGTTTAGTTCTTTTTAGATTTAGATAATGCTGAGAAACATAAACCTTCATATATCCAACCTTTACACATTTTGTGAAATGAAAACCACTAAACTACTGCACACGTTTTCTAAGTTATCTTTATTTGTATAGACCAACAACGGAATTGTGCAACATTACTAAAATTGTAATTAAATAAAAGATGGGTTTTTCATTTTTAAACAGGCAAAAATAAAGAGGAATTTAAAAAAAGTATATATTTACTCTAAAATATAAAAAGTTTGGTACCAACCAATAACCTTTATAAATCTTAACTTACAAGGTATAATGTCAATATTAACACAGCTCTTTTGTGTAGACCTCAGATTGTTGTTTGGGGAACCTTTGTAATGAAACAACACAGTAAAAAGCAAAGAACATAAAGGACAGGTCAGAGGAAAGTTTTATAGACCTTTAACCCTTTCAATCCTAAGCCTATTTTCTCAAAATTACATATTCCAATTAAAATGTGTGTATCTGCAACCACGATTTCTAATTAAAAATGATGTTGCATCAGCAAAGGTAAGAGGTAATATTTTTAAAACTTGTTTCATCTGTTGCTGTTTTTTAGCTTTGGTCATGGATGAAATTTTGATTTCGGAATTTGGGGGGATGCAGGTATTTTTAATATAACTATTATATATAAATGCAGCATGGTTTCTAGTAGTTCTTCTGTGTATGTTCCCTCTACTTTTTCTTGCATCTCTGCTATCCCTCTCCTGACAAAATATATGGATGCATCACATGAACAATTGGACAATTTGTGGACCCAAGTTTTTCTACAAGACTGTAACCCCTGGGCCGTTTAAGTTATATCACAAATCCAAAAGGTATCAGAAAGCAGAGATAAAGACTTGCGACCCTACACTTCTAATTACGGTAGGGCATAGGTCTTTAGCAGCACTGTGACCATCATATCACAGACCCGATTTACGTTCGCATCAGATGTTTATAAAGTGAGCTTCTCAGGAGTGGCAGCAGTGATTGGCGATTCACCCAAGAAAAGACGGCCGGCCAATCAGGAGCTGGTGGGTGGTCTAACCTTAGGGAAGCAGGCTTCAGCTTGAGCTGCTGTTTTCCGCTTGGTCCTAGGGCTCGACAGTTGTCTGTGTACTCAAGCGTTACATTTTTTTTGGATTGGCAAAAGTGCAGGGGACCAAAACAGACTTTTGAAAAAGTACAGGGGGACATGTCCCCACGTGTCCCCCCCCCTGATTCTAGGGAGTCCCGGCTTCCATATGATATGTATTTTGTGCTGGTTTAATATGGGTTTGTTGCTTTGGAGACTGAAATGTCATAGGTTGCTATTGTGATTTGTCTTCATGTATATTATTTCATTTGGATATAATTTTAGTTGTTATTTGCTCATTTAAAAAACATTTTTGTGCTGGGTTGTAACCTAGATTCAGCCTTTTAATTTAATATGCCACAATGCTCTATTCTCTTTCATTAATGCGTCGTTTATCACTGTTGCTGTAACAGTAACAAGGTACCTCAAGAAACAATATCTAAAATATCTGAACATCTTACACAACATTTTTAATTCCAACTACTGAAAATAGAAACAATATTTTACAACTGCTAGACTACTTACGGATGGTCATTCAACTGGACTGAGAGAGCAGATTATTTAATTGGAAAAGCAGCTGAGATATTCTTGGTATCTCTCCATTGTTTTTAATAATTGCTCTCACACCTAAAATTAAATCCACTGCTCAGGTAGAAGAACCAGGGACTATAAATCAGGCCTTTATGGAGGAGTAGCAAGAGGTAAAACTTTTTGTGTTTTTTTAAGTAATCTGTGTATGGTTCTTGTTGCAGTTTGCCACAACCTTGTGGATGCTACTAAACAATAGGACATTTGATCTGACTTTGCAGCAGAACAGTGTTTCCAAGCTGGTAGCAAAAGATGATTAAAAAAAATAACACAAGGGTTCTGAACAGATATCAATAATACATTTTTGGCATTCACAACCATGTTGTTAGAAAATGTTATTTCAAGTAATAAATGATGGAGTTAAAAGGAACTGTTTACATTGACAATAATTTTGATCAGATGTTGTTTTTTACACACATCAACATGAGAGCTTTGTCGAGTAAGCTGAAACTGGCAGGCTGCTGTAGGGGAGTAAATATATAGGCCACGGCCTCACAGGCTCTTGAGGAATAGCCCAGAACAGTCCTCCACCCTCTCAGAAAGCTGAGCAACTTTTTTCCCTCCTTGTCTCATTTTCCTCGCCTGCAGGGGCGCTGAAATCATACCTCCGTGAACTCCCCGAGCCACTAATGACCACTGAACTTTATGATGAATGGATTCAGGCATCAAAGTGAGTTGCTGTTCCCTCATTTTAAACATTTCCCTGATTATGCTGATTATGCCATTGGCCATGATGACTGGAAAGCAGTCCAAAGTCTTCATAGAGAGTCTGGTGGCTGCCAACATGACAAGTGGGGCCATTTATTAAAATGTGGAGCACCAATTTTTTTATCATGAATATTTCTGCAGTGTTCAAGACATGGACAAGAGGCTACAAGCCTTAATGGCAGTATGTGAAAAACTCCCCACAGACAACTTAAACAATTTCAGGTGAGCTGGGTTTTTTAGCACATTAAACTGTCTTGTAACATGACAACAATGTTGTACATTACTCATGCTTCTCAAGATAAGATAGTTTATGTACAAATTATCTGTATCATGGATCCACCTTAGAATCTTTTGACTTTCTAAATGTATGCCTCTAAAGATGATTCAGTTTTAATGCAGATTTACATATTATTATGAAATTGACTTCTTTAGTGTTGATCAGATATTACATTTTTCCTGATTCAATATTGTTAAATGTACAAATCATAACCCTAATTGGCTTCTTTGCTGAACATGATATCAGTTTTTTTTCATCAGAATTAAAAAGTCAGATTGTGAATTGAACAATGATGACACTTCAAGACTCTTCTTTGCAACCCTGCAGATATCTTATAAAATTTTTGGCCAAGCTGAGTGAGTATCAGGACTCGAACAAAATGACACCTGGCAACATGGCTATTGTCCTTGGACCTAACTTGCTGTGGACACAAACAGAACCGTATGTATTGCTAATTCTGATTTACCAAATGTTGCATTTTTAGTGTGCTAACAAGCTGCTATCTCATTCTAGGAACATGACGGAGATGATGACCACCGTTTCCTTGCAGATTGTTGGCATCATTGAGCCGATTATTCAGCATGCTGATTGGTTTTTCCCTGGAGGTCAGAATTACATCAATATGTACGAGAGGAAGCATTACTATTAGACTAGGGAACATGTTGTGTATCATTGCAACTGTACAGTAGCAGTCATTCAAATTGGCGCATCTAAGTGAAACGCCAGCTGAAAGGCATCCCACGTCCCTGAAACTCCCAGCAAAATTCCCCCCAACTTCCAGCCACTGGAGTAGACCCCTTCCTTCTCCTGAGCGTGTATATTTTTTTACTCTGACTCCACACTTTTCAGTGAATTACATGGTTTCACCAGAAGATGATGCTTCTTTTTAGATGTTAATGTCAACAAATCATGACAGAAAAAATATTTTAGTACAAAGATTGATGTTTAAAAAGGAGTTGTAGGGGACCAGCCAGGGGCCCATCAAGGAAAGTGGGGAAATATTGAATGGATACTGCTGTACTTCATTATTTAGACATCTCACTAAAGATGCTTCCTATTAGTTGTGCTGCCCTTTTTTAAGTGTTTATGTATTGCTGTATGAACACCGTGTGTAAACTGCATTAATATTTGTAGGAAACATTTGATTGATTTTTTATGACAATTTAATGCAAACCCACCAGATTGTTGCATTATGTTTGCATTACATTGTGCATAGATTCATGAACAATGCATCATTTCAATACTGGATTTTAAATAGAGAACTCCCTGTTTATCTTCTTTAACTTTGATAAATAATGGCACATGTATGATATATTAGACACAATATAAAAAATGAAGCTCCATCTTAAATGAATTGCTTCAGTTAGTAACAAGTTACTGAATGAAGTTTGCCCAACTTAATTTATTGAATAAAAATAAGTTGGATCAACTTGATTCAATTACTACATTGCAGAGATGGAAGCTGAGGTGGTTTCTTGCAGATTTAATATCCAAAAAGTGGCAACAGAAGCAAAAGTCCAAAATAACCAAATACAGCACACCAAAATACCAGGAAACATCAGGGAAAACACACAAGGTGCCAAGAAACAACAAGGAACCAGCAAATCGTAACTGAAGAGGAGAAGTATTTATGTCAAACAGAACAAAGACTGGGGTAATGAACTGATTGGGAGCAGGTGTGGACAGAAGAGTCTGGAAGGGAGCCAGTGGAAGGAGACTAACACAAAAGGGCAACAGAAGGTAAACAAGAAATACATAAGAGCTCAAATAAAACCAGAAAACACCACCAACTGGAAATGAAACATATGAAAACTCAAAAAGAAGACTTAAACAGAAAAAAAAAAGTTCAAAACCGTGACCGTAACCAACTGAAGCAATTACTATAAGTTTTTAGAGTGCACATCTGGAATATGGATGTGGGGAACACATTATAATGCTTCATAATGCATCCAAGAGACCATTTGTAACTTTGAGAAATAATGAAGATCTGGAAGTTAAGATATAATGTTCTACTTAAAAACTGTTAGTAACTGTTTTAGCCATTCTGGGGTGGCACAAACAAACCGTTTATCACAAAAAGACCATGTGAAAGTAATACTTGAATGGCAGAAAAAAAACTGCACTTCCTCCTAACAAACCATTCTCAAAGTGCAACACAGTGGTGGCAGCATCATGCTGTTGGGATGCTTTTCAGCCCTCAGAGGAAATATAACCCTAAACATATGATGCACCAGGTAGAATGGCTTAGGGAAAGCATTCTATTCACATTTGCCCCAAGCTTAGTGGTCTTTGACACAAAGAAAAGTGTCTTTATATGTGCAAAGTTGGAGGAGACAAACTCCAAAATACTTTGTTAGTGGAAAAAAGTACTTATGAGCATCGCCTAAAGGGACCAGAATACAAATGCGTGTCATGGCTTTTGAGATCTGTTGAAATATAAAAGAAACAGAAAAAGAAAATCATTGCTCCATTTCCTTCTGCTTTTTCAATTATACACTATCTTTTGTTAGACTATTGAATAACATTTGAATAAAATACATTTCAATTAGATGTTTTAGTAATGGGAGTATATTTATTGGTTTTGAATGCTTTTACATGGCCCTGCTTGTCTGCATGTCTGCTTATGCCACAGAGATTGAATTCAACCTGACAGGCTGCTATGGGAGCCCAATTCACACCAACCACAACTCCAACTACAGCTCCATGCCCTCACCAGACATGGAGCAGTCGGAACGCAAGCAGCAGCAGCACGACCAGAGTCGACGCCCACTGAGTGTCGCCACTGACAACATGATGCTGGAGTTTTACAAGAAAGACGGGTATGATACCAAGCCCCGCTCCTCATTCTCTCTTTGTATCTGAAACCAACTGCCACATTTGTAGAGAGATGGGCATCCTGGAGTATCTGGCCACTTATCATTCTCCTACATAGAAATACACCCCCATGTTCTCAGAATTCATCAACAACGGGGGTCTAAATTACCTTTGTATCGTTGTTTCTATGGCAACATGCCTCTGATGGAGAGCTGCTTGTTATTTCTTTTTTTCTTTTTTTTTCCTCTGGGAAATATTTTTCTTGACTTATCTTCTTATCCTCCCACACTGAGCTCCTCCTTCACAGTCTGGCTAGTGCGTCACCTCGCCTGACTCATTCACTCTGCCAGTGAAAAAAATAAAATAAAAATCAGGAAAAATAAAACATAAAGTTTGTCAAACAGTGACCATATTACATTCTAAAAGACAGCAATCATTAGTTTTAGTTCCTTTTCAAGAAATAAATGTCTTTGAAAAAAAGTCAGAGACTCCATATTGGTCTGTTGCTGCAAAAACCCTCCTCTCACCTCCTGCACATTCCCTTCTCCTTGTCCCCTGCCAGAGTATCTCATATTCCTTTCTTATACCTGTTTTGTGGGCCATGTCTGCATCACTTATGACCTCATATCCCTTTTGCCTTTTATCTCCCCTACTAACGCAGCATTAGGAAGATACAAAGGTACTGTATTGTTCCATCGTTCCCACTTCTTTTCCTTCCGTATTTCCCCTCACTCTGGTAAATTCATAATCCCTTTGCTACCATCATACATGACTTTTGGCACTTGTTTCAACAGTATGGGAGTCCGAGTGATGGATACTTCCTGGGTGTCTCGCAAGGGCTCATCCACGCTGACGCGCAAGGCTTCTTCCACCCCCCCTGGCACGCAAGGACCTGGCTCACCGGCTGACACGCTGATCCCAGAGCAGCCTGGAGAACTAGCCACCTCACCCTCTGCTACGCCGCCGCTTGGAGAAAGGGTTTGGTAAGTAACTGTAAGGACACGGTCCTCGTACCGAGCACATATTAACACCAGGTCATTCTTATTGTCACCACCATCATCACCACCAACGGCATTCTCAGGTGAGAGAATGCCTTACCCATCATTCCATTATTGAGCAATGTCTACTTATGCAGAGTGTTACACTCCCTGCATTGCTGATTGCTAACTTCCACGTCTCTCTCATGTAACCGTCACTGTGTAACATGGTCTGTCTGAACTCTGTGTTGAATTTGCAACCATTTAAATTGCCTTATGCTTTAATTTTTCTGTCCTTCCAAGCATGCTAAAATATTCTGAACTGCTTTGGCTTTTTTCTTTTAGCTAGCAAAGAATTTACCCTTATTTCCTTTTTGTTTTGACACACTGATTTTGACTTTTACACAGCTTCATTATCACCTTCATACTCATGAATAATCAGCTCTCAGTCACTTCCTCTGCCTGTTTGGCAGAGAAGATAATATGGCTTCTCGTTTGGCTTGCTTTACCCTCATTTCCTTTGGCTCTTTCAGCCAATGAAAGGGTTTTGTGTCTGGTTCACACTGCCCTGGGCTGACTGCAGGACTTTTAGGATGTAATCAAGTCATGTAGGACGAATTTAGGTGTCCAATTTCAAGCATTGAGGCGAGCTTGATGATATTGTGAGCTGCAGACGAATGCTTTGGCTTGCAGAGATTCCTCAGAGCTCGCTGCAGTGTGCAGACACAAGGTGATCACAAAGGTAGTCTTACACACTGTATTCTTTTTCTTTGCTAATAAGAAATTAATTTCCAGCTTTTTTTTGTGCTTGTCTTTGTATCGCACTTTAAACTGTGCTGGCTGTGTCCCGAGGCTGGTACCATAACCTTTGCCTAAAATGTGTTTTTTTTTTTTTTACACCTTGTTTAAGCAACAGTTCAGCTAACAGAATCATGGCGGCTTTTTTTTTTTTTTTTTTATTGCTCCATTGCGTTTCCCTGTTCAATCGCAAGAGCTGTTTTACTTGTGCTGTCTATTCTCTTAATGTCTACAGCTCAGACAACGTGTTGTTCAATCGGCCAGACACCTCTTATGCCCACTCAACCCCTGGGGAGGACCGGCCGCCCCCTCCCTACCCTTCCTCCTCGTGCCACTCTGCCACTCACCACTTTTATCCCAAACCCCCACCCTGCGCTCGTCCTGTGGCACCAGGTCCTGAATCCCAGCCCCCTGGTTCGCCACCACCCCCAGTACGCTGGTCTGGCTTCACTCCGCCCGCCCCACCCCCTTCCTCCTCTTCCTCTTCCTCCTCTTCATCGCTCGACATCAATTCAAACCCGAAACCTAGCTGCCTGCATTTCCCCAAGCACAGTCCGCCAAGTGACATGGCACAAGCCCCTCCCCCTGACACTAACGCTTCACCCCTCTATGTCAAAACCCCCTTGCTATTAACCCGCCATGAGCAGAGTCACAGCAACCTCCCTAGCCTCCCTTCGTCCGCTCCCCCACCCCCGCCGTGGGCTGCCTGTCCATGTGCCCGAGAGAGAGGACCCCCCAGGCTGACTAGGTAAATACAACACCTCTGTGGCTACTGTGGGTGCATCACAGAGTGGCAGCTCTTTTTGCTCTTCTAGTTCGCTGGCTCATAGTTGCTTTTTGTCTTTTACCCCTCCCTTTTAGTTGACCCCATATTCTTTGATGTTCAAGGTATTTGGAAAAAGTTGGTACCCCAAGAACCAAAGCTGGACAGATATTATATGACTGTTTGTATTTTTATATTTAAGTCAGTATTTAATAAGATCAAGCATAATGTTTTTAAATCATCGTTAAGGTCTTGATAGACCTAGATTATTGTATAAATGTTTTCCACAGAACAGAAGCATCTTTGAGCAGAGGTCTTAAGGCTCACTTTATTCTTCCTAACTTATTGTTTTGTTGGTTTTACTAACACAAAGAAGTGTGAGTCACATGGGCAAAGCTTCATGGACACCCACAGTTATCATCAGTACAATTAGTACAAACGTTTACAACTCAAATGTGACCAAAATGTGTCCCAGCATGGCTAAGATTAGAAGTATGATGATTAAATGAATTCCAGACATGTTTTATATGATCATATGAAATAAGATACTGTTCTAAAGTATACTTATTTTGGAAAAATTCTAACTTCCAAGCTAAGCAGATTTCTTTATTTTATTAATACAGAAATTAGATACAAATCAAAAGTCTTGACAGTTTTATCTATTTTTCATATCTACGTACCTTTTATTAGTTTTATATACTTAAATTAGTATTAAGTTCCCCTATGAATCCTGTAACTGTGAAATTCCAAAGGACACTGATTGATCGCTCAACAATATAATATTTTTATGTCTCTGTTACATTCTAACATATTTAGTAAACTCACCTCTTGTTCTTTCTAAAGATTATTTACATGTTGGATTTTCCTTTTTTATATGACTTTTGATATTGTGACCCATGTCATACATACCATTATGCCTTCTGTTACTACTTTACAGACAAGACAATGAGGATGGTTGCTCTCTTTCCTTTATATATTTACACCCTAATGTTAAGTAGGTGTGCATGTCCTAAAAATCATACAAATGTGTTTGTAAGCACAGAGCAGATCTTCAAACAAGGCGCAAAGTGATTTGTATTTTCAGTTTAGCAGACAAAGCCATTTTTTTTTTTGCGTGTTTGCCTTCATCAATACAGAGATCATATTCTGATCACTAAATTGCACAAATTCATGGGTGGAGGAAATGCACATCTAAATATTATTCACATGCAAAACAGTTTTCCCAAATCAGAAACTCAGTTGTAGGTGCAAACAAACACGCAACAATATCAGCAGTTATGTTGGCCACAGGTAAGGCATTGGTACAAAGCCAGATGATGCAGAGAGATTCTGTGTGCATCTAAACATATATGGTAATCAATAGTCAAAGACTATTGTTTTATGATACTTCATTTTTTCATATTTAACTTCAGTTAGATATGCAATCACAGGATATTTAAAGCAGCTGTTTGTGATTATATAATTGACCTGCTAATTGATAAACTGCTGGTTGGGTTAAGTAGATCCATTTGATAAAGCCCCTGTCACACCTTGACGATTTAGCCAGCTTATGCTTGATGTCCCAGAATCTTCTAAAACGCAGAAATACGCTGAACTCTCTATGTATTTTTTCAATTTTGGGGGCGTATACAACGAGTATTCATAACAAGTCCAGAACTTATGTCCAGCGACAGCCTAACTTATGCAGAACGCACGGCAGCGTAATGCCAATGAAATGTCACAAGCCAGTGTCCTGATGGGGGCAGCAATGCACCCGGAGGCACCGTCATGCATAGAAAGATTTCTTTGATCGCGGTATTAACCTAGCTGCTGTTTACCGCCTGCCAGAAATATATAATTAAATAAAGAAATAAATAGAAATAAAGAAGGTTGTCATCAGCTGTCATCAGATATGTTGATAGTTACGCATAAGTTATGCACAAGTTGCTTTTAGATTTTGGATAAGCTAGACACCACAACTTATGAGTAACTTACATTCATTGTGTGTCAACGATCAGATAACTTACCTGTAACTTATGGCCCACATATGGCATACGCTGGCATACATCAAAGAGGTTTTAGCATGCTCAAAATTTCTCTACGTATTTGCTGTTTGTTGATGTGTGCCAGCATGTTTCAGTGTACCTCAGCGTGCTGTGACCGATAGTGGTATTCTGACTGTTATTTATCTTGTATGTTTTTCAACCAAGTGGTAAAATGAAGATGAAACTGAAAGTTCAGAGGAGAATTGCATGACTAAATACCTGATGTGGTCAGTAGTAGGTGTCAGATAAGGGCATCTGTAATGTGTGGAAACGAGAGTTGGCATTTATTGTCAAAGGGACAGATTTAGTCTAATTGGTTGTGAAATCAGATGTGTTGGATTTTGTTTCAATAACTGAGATAAATTCCTTTATTTATTTATTTTTGTAGAAATAGGAGTGTATCATTTTCATATAATTTGATTTTATTTCATAACAGTGAATTTCAATGATTAAAGACTCAATAAAGAGTGCTAATATCCTTGGAGATAGGGGACAACATTGTCTGGTACCTCTATAAATTTTTGGAGACTAAGTTGTTTGTTATGATAGCTGCCTTTGGTTTACTTAAAATTTGGAAGGATTGCCAATAGTTATTTTTTTATTAGAAATTTTCATTTTACATCTCTTTAAAGATTAATTTTGCTGTCAATCAAGGTGTGCATACATTATTTTTTGTAAAGGGTGGTCGGGGATATCAAGGAGCAAACCTTGACAATTTTGTACAGATTTTCTCATATTTACTCTTCAGTACTTTATGGGCCTATACAATGCAAAATAAACTTTTCTGAGCATTTAGCTATTTTGTAATGATTTCCCTTTATTATATTCATATCTGAACTGTTATTTTACTTAATTGATTCATGTCAGACATAGTCATCATGAATTATGCTCTCTAAGCAGCCCCCCCTCCCTGGAAAAGAAACAGCCAAGCCAGGTCTACGTAGACTTTACAGAACCCACTGCGTCCAAAACGCACCTATCGTAACTGTACCTGCCCAGTAAACAAATGCCCACTACTTTTTTGTTGAGTTGAGGTGGCCTTTTCAGCAACTAATCTCAACAATCGTATAATTGTTTGCTAAAGTCAATGTCATGGGAATTTGTTTTTCGGCAATGAGAGGTCTCTGACTTTTTTTAGTCTTCCTTTAAAGGAGGCTAATCAACAGAAGTACTAGACTCCCAAGAGACCCCTCTCTCCCAAGAGACCCCTCTCGCGGCTCCAGCTTTGCCATTGGCGCATTTATTCTGATGCTAATGAGAGTTTAAAATTAATTTGAGTATCATGAAATGTTTAATTAGCAAAACAACAGCTCTGGCTTCTTTCTGTCCTGCCATAAAGCTGGCTAAAGTATGAAACGTATTGCTACAGTGCACTATATTGTAGTAAGGGAAAACTAGAGATAGCAGTCCAGTGTTGCCAACTTTATGTGTGACAGCAGCAGGAGTCTCTCTCTACTTCCCTGTCTCACATACACAGGCAGCTTCCTCCTTGTAGAAGCTATGCAGTGAAAGCAAAGAGAGCAGAGAGGAGACCTGCTCCATTTTCCATCCAATAATGTTGACACATAAAGCTCTCAATTATTCCACCCTGGATTACAATCAGGATATTAAAATGATCGAAATATATATATATTTTTTTTATCAACGCTTTTTTTTTAACTGTTGCTCTTGAATAATTTCCTAATTACCACACATCTGGAATCAGTTGTTGACCTTGTAACTAGATGTTTGCAGTGTGGATTCATTCAATTCGATTTTTTTAAGTAAGGTTAAGGTATGTTGCATTTCAATAACAGGGACATAGTTAATTGTTAAAGTTTTGTTTCAGATACTCATTTTTTTCTGTTACAAGTGATGGTGATGATGGTGGTTATAGCTTCGGTTCTAAAGCAAACAATCAACTTTCCTTTGTTGTTGTCTTTATTTCGTTTACCAATTTTATGCTTCCATTCTTGTGCACCTAATTGTGTCTGCCTATTTTTCAGTTCACTAAAGAGTAAAGAACTTTCCCCTGTGATTGGGCATAAAGGCATCCAGGTGGCTAGTCCAACAGTGCCCCCTAGCTGTAGCCTTCAGAGCAGCAGCCAATCCCCCCACTCCACTGAGCACAGTCCACACACCCTACGCAAAGGTCAGTACTTCTCTAACTGTGGCCTCATGTTGGCTCTCAAAATGTAAAAATCATCTGTTGATATTTTCTGAGTGAAGAAGATGTCCTATGTGTTTATAGGTTCCAAGAAGTTGGCCCCAGTGCCTCCAAAGGTCCCTTACGGCCAGTCTGGAGGAATGTCTGACCAGTCCACAGGTCAGCCATCACCTGTAAGCTTGTCCCCTACACCCCCCAGTACCCCTTCCCCTTATGGACTGACCTGCCCTCCAGGGCAAGTACCTCCACCCTCCCCTGGGCAGACTCCACTCGGGCCAACCCACTCCCTATCATCTCCGCCCTCCCTGTCTGGGACGCTTACCAAGTCGCGGCCCGCCCCTAAACCTAGGCAGCGACCGAGCCTGCCCCCTCCTCAGCCACCCCCAGCGCCCCCACCAATGGCTCCAGTCCCTCAGCCTCTGGAGCAGGGCCTCCTGGATGGACTGTCTCCTGGAGAGAGCATGTCTACAGGTAAACACCAGCCAATGGAAACAACCCCCCCACCACCACCACAGGTTGGGCTACAGCGGCCGTCTCTCAGACTCGCTGTGGCTCTTTCCAATGGAGACGGTGGACAGGTGTAGGACCTTTAGGACTGTAGACACAGAAGACCCCTGTCCCCTTAAATGACTCATTCCAAAGATACATCTGATTAAAACAAAAAAAAACAAAGTGGCCTCTTAGACACCTGGGAATAATGCAATGTGAATATTGATATTCTTACTGTGTTAGAAAACAGATCTCCTGACTTATGTATTCATTGCTTGTGTTATGTGATGATGTTTCTAAGTAATGTGTGGAAACATCAAAACAGCATAGCTCGTCCTGCTTGTATGAAAGGTTTCCATTAGATTCATCATGTGCTCTCTGTTTATCTGTGTTGCCCAGACCCCACCCCCCATGTGGCAGAGGTAGGTCAGAGGCTTACACAGTTTACGCACAAAATGAGCATCTCTCCCTGTGAGCAGACAGAGAACCCCATATTATATTTACAGTATTATGTTATGATGATGAGGTATTTTCTTAACTATATACCAGTCTATTTTGGTTATTTGTTATATTCACCATTCTCTTGTCCCCTCCCTCCTTGCTACTACTGTGTACTTTGCAGCTGTGTGAGGCCAGGGATTCAGTGTGGGCTAATGTGAGGGGGACTTTTAGGGTAAGCCAGACCGCCCCCCGCCCCATGCACTCCATCTCACTGCCTGGCGTCGACGTGTGGATGCCTCTGGGGTCTCCTGGAGCTCGCCTCAAACACTTACCCTTAACTCTCAATCAGGTCACCTGTTGCCCTCTTTGTAGCAATATTGTATTTTTGCACTTTCTTCAAACAGTGATGCAAGGCTAAAGGATTTCCCAGAGTGCACCACACTGAGCTCATGTTGCGGTAACCATCGCTTACACAGGTTCATTCTAAAGCAGCCCCCCCCCCTACCTTCCTGTACCTTTTTATTTCCTAGTCCCATGCTGGCAGACATCATCCTCCCACTTGTCTCTCGGGTCTTCAGGTAACCCCCTCCTACTCTTGTACTCGGCAGGTTCATTGCTTTTTGTAACCTCTGCTTCCTCTTACCAAGCTCCACCTCATTCCTACACAGGAATAGTCATCAGTTTGTTTGGATGTGTGGCTTCCAGTAAATCGTGCAACTCACTAGATTAGATGTAGTTTTTGCAAATAATAAGAGAAGAATTTCAATTTTTACTTCAAGCCACTTGGCATTTCGGTGCCTTTTTTTCCCACAGAGTTCCACACAAACATCTTGTTGCCTCTGTGTTTCGGCCGTTGTTGTAGACGTGTACTGTCACTGTGTTGTTGGATCTCTTTTCTTTTTTTACTTACAGAAATGTGTTTATGTTGTGAATTTACAGTATTATTCTCACTGGATCCTTTTTCCACATTTTGTCTTGTTCTAACCGAAAAAACTTCCAATTTCATTTTTATTTCTTTTATTTATGTGTTTATATGGAAAAAGAAAAAAATCACAAAATTGTTCTCGGTTGAAAATACAGGACAGGATACTGGACTTTAATATTTATTTACTATTTATTTACAATTCTAAAAAAGGAACATTAACTTTTTGCTAAGTCTGATCGGAAACAAGGTTTTCAAAAAAATGCATGGATTCATATTTAAACTAGGTCTGGACTTTGACTAGGCCATAGCAACTCCAAATATGCGTTCCTCTAACTATTAAATTGTAGTATGGTTGCAGTTTTAGGGAGGATGTCTTGTTTAAAGGTGAAATCCTCTAATATGTTATCTTTTATGATTTATTTAGCTCCATCAACCTAGAAAACCATGATGCTGACATTGACACATTTTTCCTGTAGCGATACCCATGTGACATTTTGCAAGGAGCCAAATCTTTTCTATTTTATCTGAGCACTGCAGCTTATTCTATGTTTGATTTTTTCTTAAGGATTTATAGCAAACATTTAACAAGCTGTTTATGGATAATTTCAAAATGGCTTTCTACTTTTCACTTTTTTTAGTAAAGACATATGAAAGGAACATTTTATAGTCTGAAATGAAAGAGATCTCATCTGTGGATTTTTGTAGGTTCTTGAAGCTTACCATGGGCATCTTGGCTGCTTCTCTGATTTGTCGACAACATGCCCATCAGTTTAAGTCGAAGGTCATATCTTGGTACCTTTTTTTTTTAAAGCTGGATCAAACAGTCATCAAACAGATCAATCCTTCTAATAAGATATTGCTTTAGAACCTCGACCTGTTTTAGACAAATCCAAGACGATTGTTACAAAAAAACCTCTGAGGCCTTTACAGTACATATGGATTCGTACTAAGGAGGAAACATTGCACACAACTTCATAAAACAGTTTGGTGTAAAAATAAAGATGGCATAATACTAAGGCATGCCACATGTTTTAGATATTTATATGTAAACATTTTAAGATATATATTCTTTCCTTTCCAGTTTAAAGAAGTGGTGTAATTTATCTATAAGCCAATAAATCGAGGTTTCAGGTTGTAATGAGACAAAATATGGGAAAGTTTGTGGGGTGTAAATACTTTTGGCACTGTGCAAAACTAGTTGTTTGCAACGGTAAATATCAAAGTGAAACATCCATGTGAAGCACATATAGTTTTCTGATTTCTTGTGCCTCTCACTATGAGTTCGGATAGGAGTCATTAATATTACTTCTGCTCTCTTCCATTTTTACTTCACAATCATTATCATACGCCTTCCCCTTCCCTCTTTTCTTCATTCATTAATATGCCATTCTCACTATCTCACTTTTCACACTCACCTTTCCCCCTATCATGCTCACCATTAGATATCTTCAATTATGAAATCCCCTCCATCAATGTCAATTTGGACAGCCTCATCGATGAGTTCAGCGCCGCCCCCTGCAGGAGGTCCCTGGCGGTGACAGACTCTCCAGAGGGGGATGCTGAGCCTGAGGAGGAGCCCCAGAGTACCATTCTATGACCTATGACCCAGAGGTATCATTTACCAGCATCCTGGGGGCTGTACATGGGCTGTCCACCCTAAGGCCTAAAGGAAACACAGACTGGCCTCCCCAGTGTCCACCAGAAACCAGAACATAAACCCTCCCTCACATCTGCTACAGGCTGCAAAGAAACTCATCTTTCTCAGCTGCTTGCTTTAACATTTATGTGACTGCAGAAACAAAACAAAATGAAAAAAAAAAAAACACACACCAAATGCCATAGTGGATGAACTGTTGCCTTCAAGAGAAAAGACTGGAAAATAGATAAGTATTCGTCAAGAGATATTTTTTATCACTGTTTTATTTTTGCTTATTTGCTTACTTTTGTCATTATGTTTCACAGTGAGATGCTTTATTCTTATTTGTCCTTTTCTGTTTTGTTGTGTTTGCCTTATAAGAACATGCAATTCAAGTTGCAATATGAAGTTTCACAGGTTGGGCTTTTTAATTTAATTTAATTTTATTGCCTTTGAGAGACTGGCATGGCTGGAGCAAATCCTCAGACTGAAACGCATAGTGAGAGTGGGGCTCACAGGGTATTCAACTTTGCACACATGCAGGGCCCGTTAAGTCAGGCTTTGCTTGCAGGATGAAACATTTTACTCAGTTTTGATTCAATCAATTCTTCTTTAGTCTCTTGTGAAAAAAAGGGGGGTCTTTGTTGAAAATGTACACATTTATAGGTAAAACTCACTTAAATTCACTTAACAGTGTACCAGCAAATAATCAGAAGAATGTTATAGAATTTCAAGCTTTTTCTATTTCCACCCACTGTTCAGTTTAGACAAAAGTACTGCAGTGTTTTTGCATGAGAGACTAATGTGACTGACCTTTTTCAGATCAACTGAGTGGTTTTGTTTATTTTCTAAATATACATTTTACAGCCTTTCTTTTTTTTCACCTCTCAGAGTAAATCATGAGCCAACAACTGTTAGGATGCTGCAACTTGATGATTATGGACGGAAGACTACACTGCCTTTATGTTTGTGTGATTCTCTCTCTTAACTTTGTTTCAAGTGCTTCAGGTTCAGTGACCTTTGACCCCAGAGTGTAAATACAAAGATTGTACATAGGTTTATGTATATAAAATTGAGAGAAAGAGTATATGTATAATGCATATTTGGAACATATAAGGATATTAATATATGTGCTGATATTTATTGTGTAGAAAATGACATGATCAGAATCTTGATGTTATGATTTGTCCCTGCACACATTGAACAGGTGTACTGATTCCTTTTTTTTTTTTTTTACTTTAACGCCAGGGTTTTTACAATGCTGCAGCAGACATGCAGAATGTTCCTCCTGCTACAACATATCTAAGGTGTTTGAGCTCTAACAACCGCACACTTACGGCTTACGATCCCTTGTTTAAAAGCAATGCTGTTAAAGTTAATCTTCGTAAAGAATTTAAAATGCTTGAAATGCTCCAGATTTTTTAAACTTAATTGGTTTAGATATGGATCCAATTAATAAGGATGGCTTTGATAAGAAAAAATGTTTAAATAAGCATATTTTGGTTTTAGTCCATAATAATTCTACTGTGCTTTTCAGAAGTAATGCAATACTTTGATCTTTTTTGATATTGCACCACTTAATGAACATAAACTTCAGAATACTTTATTCACCAATGCATAGCAATAAATATTTGTGAAAGAGAAAATTATGCTTTCTGTGAAGAACAGCTCACAACTCACAACCATTTCTTATTAATCTTTTCTCGATGCTTCGATAAGAGTAGTTTCAATGTTTGTTTTGGTTGCAGTCAGCATTTTTTTTGCAGCAGCAGCAGCGTCTATAAGGTTTTATACTGCTTTGCTCTACTTTGTAGCTCTATTCATTATCCCATTAACCCAACAAACTTCCATGTTTGCTTGTTAGAAAGCATCCCTACAGCATTATGGAGCCCCCACCATTCTTCACAGTGGGTATTATTTGGTTTTCTGGTACACCTTTAATTTAAAGGTATAGTGGAGGATTTTTGTGCAGTCTTTGAAACACCCGCCCTCTCCACTTTAAAAAAAATACATATGCACAACCCTGTACCCACTTCCGAGAGTGAACGCCTATTAAAAGCGTACGACAGTATGCACAAGCCCATTTCTCCTCGTGCACCCTCTGTTTAAAAGGTGCTTTTTTGCATCGCTCATACAAGCTTACTTTCCAAAAGAAGATTTAGAATTTCTCCACTATGTCAGAGAATCACCACCAGTTAGTGAAAATGGGGATGAGCACGTAGGATGGCCTTACGTAAACTTATCACCAGAATGATTAACATTTAGGATTACCACTTATTTTGATGATCCATCCAGAAAAAGAACATTCTCCACTCTACCTTTAACTTAAAAGTGTACATTTAGTACACTCTGCCATGAGCACTGTGTATTACCTATGCTCTCTTCCCTTTTATGGATTGTGGCTCACTGCAATCAAATGTTTAATCTGCCATGCTTCTATTGAAACCAGGTATAACATGCACGATTAAATTAAAGCATGATCCACTTCTCCTGAGTTATCATGGGCCTCACAAACTGCTTCTCTTTTTCATGATCTCCTCAGTAGATTATTCAGTTTAGGTAATGTCATGATAGCTTTGCATTTATTCCCTATACTTTTTTCCCCCCTATTTTTTGGATATTAAACAGTATCCAATGTTTCTTCATGAATTTCACCTTCACCCACCATCCATGTTCCTTCCTATTTTTGTGGTTGGGTGCTTTTTTTCTGTAACAAAAATTCTTAAACCTTCACAGAAGATCCTTTTTTAATTTGCTTAAGAGTGCATTACACATAGGGGGACTCTGTTAACTGATTTAGTGACTTTTGAAGGCTGCTGGGTTTAGTTTTTTTTAGGGGTAGCACAGTAAAATGGGTTGCAGACAATTGCTCTGCATTGTTCGTGAAATGTTTTGAAAACTTTGAAATGTTAGTTAATTTTACAATCATATGCTATTTTGTGTCAAACTATAACATTGAAAATCCCAACAGATATCACTGACATTTGAGGTTGTAACGAGATAAACATAAAAGCAAGTTGAAATGATAGTAATGCGCACAGAAAGGCACAGTAGAACCTTTAAATTTAGCAGATGGTAGATGCGGAAGCTTTGCTTTTCTGTTTGATATGAATCTTTACAAAATATTAATGCTATCAATAAAAGTAGATTTACATGATTTAAAGGTCCACCTTAGTCTATAAATGTGCTAGAAATTACATGTTCTGAATCTGCTTTAAAAAAGCCATGAAGTTTATTAAATCCTTTTACGTTTTATGAGTGAATCCAAAAAATACGTTTGGTTTGTTTCCTCTAATCCAGGATTTACGGTATGCCTCAGTCTGTGTGTTTTCAATGAGCTATTTCTATGAAGATTTTGGTGATGTTGCTTATCTTGATAGTTGTGGTAGTTATATAACAATAATTACAAGTGCCCTCACTCTGGTTGTTACTTTTGAACAATAGGATTATTCAATGTGTGCTAGAGGCTTTTTATTTTGTGTGTTGGATCAATTCATTCATACACAGGGGTGCATCTCTGAATGTGAGTGATGCAGATTTTTACCCAACAGATCAGGATCGAAATACCTTTGGTCTCAAATTTTGGCATGTGTTGTTATCAGAACGTGGTATTATTACTCTAATGCTTTTAGCCATCATAACTGGAACTTACAACCACTTGGAAGCATGCATTTAATTCATTATAAGTGTGATAATTAAGCAAATACAAAGAAAACAAAAAAAGGATCTGTGCTCTCCCTAAAAATGTGACTCCTTATTTTTTTTAGTTGCTACTGTAAATTAACTTTACAGCAACTCTTTTCAAGTGCATTTTCCTTAAAGCAACTTTTTCCAGTAATGATATTCTGTTATTTAATGAATCTTCTTAAAGACTGTAGGTCTATTTTCACCACATCACTTGGAATGTTGCTCCAAAGCAAAGGCAAGTCCCTTTGCATTTTGTCTGGGTTGAAATAAGAAAGGAACAAATAGGATCATGCATGCATTTGGAAAATATTTTAACAGACCATTTTTTTCATAAGCACTGTCATTTTAAGGGGTTGTGAGAGAATGTGAAATGTGAATTGCAATGGACGTTTTTTTTTGTGTGAGATTTTGAGCAATATAGAGGAGAAGCAGAGATTGCCTGTGGATGTACAGTCTCCTTCTGCTTTCAAAGCTATTGTACAAAATAAATCTGCAGCTTGTTGAGCCCACCATGCCCAACCCATCGTCCTCTGCTTAGCGTAACGAGTGGAACACAGTGTGTACTGTGAAGCCTACCTGCAATCCTTATCAGAATGTCAGAAATGAATATATATTAAACTCTACATTTTTATTAATCCCACCTTGTTATTGCTGCTTTATTTCTTTTCATTAACAAACACCCATACTACAGTTTGTACCCCTTTCACTACTAATGGTTACTTCTTTTTGACTGGTCCTTTTTCATTCTCTCTTTGACTGCATCCTTAATCTGTCTTTCCTCTCTCATGTAACATGATGCATTTGGGGGGTTAATCCATACATGTGATACAGTGACCCACCTCTAGGCCCCCCTAAAAAACCAGGTCAAATGGACAAAATCTAACTCTTCCAGTTACTAATAGATAAACATGCATGGAAAATGTTGTTATAAGGCCATGAGAGCCAACTGGCTGAACTGGCCAAGCGGGATGGTTGAAGGATTGCTGATAGGAGTGTACATCTACGTAAAAATGATGAGTCACACAAAGCAAGAGTCTCAGCACTTCTAAAGTTAAACCACAAAACGCTGAATGAACAGAACCTTATTTTTTATAAAAGTCCTTAACATACATCTGACTGGAAAGACTAACTCCCTATACTTTCATCTTTATCTAATGTTTTTCTAAAGGACTGTATGGTAAACAAATCAGTCGAGCAGTGTCTCTCCTTACTGTTGACAGGCACAGCTCATCTCCTTCAGGCTGCCATGGGTCCATAAATTATTTCTAACAGATCCCTTAAAGGTGTCTCTCTTTACACGGTCCTCTTCAGCAACTGGTTGAATGATTCCTATCAGCTGGTTTATTCTCTCATCTATATCATATTTAGAAGATTTTCTTTTTCTTCAGCAACGCTTCAAATCTAACATTACTGAAGTCCTCATTCAAGATCCTACTTTGAGATTTTAGTGTAATTTATGAGGATTTAATTCATAAGAATAAATAACCATCTAATCATGGCATTAATTAAAATGCTTTTAGCTAAAATGAAATTCAAGTAAAAAACTGAAGCTTGTGGTTGTTACTTCTTAAAATCTATGAGGGTGTGAATCCTGTTTTAAGGTAGCCACAAAGTGGAGGGTCAGGCTCTACAGGTTGAGCCACAAACCTAAAGTCTGCTGCTTGGAAACAGACCACTGAGCAATACACCAAAACAATAACAGGACCTTATTTCAAACAATTTTCTGAGTATGCAAGCACTGTTTGACGAGATGGGATAAAATGCTGGTTAACTGATACTAAGATTCCTAATAAAAAAGATTGTTAACCTATTGGTCACCTTACTGTGCAAATAAAAGTTTTATTGTGCATTTCAGTCAAGATCACTCATAGAATTACTCAAAACCACATAACTCCAATAGTTAGTGTTGTCATACATTCCATGCTGACCAGTTGGATTCACATGTGTAATGATGTAGATTTTCCAAGGCAAAATTGTGTCTTTAAAGTCTTTCGGTTGTTTTAACTTAAACATTTATTCCATAAGTATCCTTATTAAGCCAATAAAATCCAGGGTAGTGTCGCAGCCACCAGTGCCAGGACGGTAAATGCCGACAGCAGACAGAGCAAGCATCGCGCAGTGCTGCAAATCCTGCGTCTTCTCCTCCGCTGAGGTTGAACCACTGTCATCACGACATCGAGCGCATCTTCCTCGGCCATCGGCCGTCCCTGCGCGCTAATGATGAAGATCTGACACGCATTACGGTTGTGACCGACGAACCTCTCCTGACGGACTCGCTGAAAGAAGCTCTCGCAGCAGCGGGCTATCCGGTCAAGCCCGCTCTCTAAAGGGGCCTCTGAGACGCGCTGTGCGCTCTGGAGCTGCAGCGGCGTCACAGGAAGAGGCACCTCCAGGGTCTGTCCTTCATCTGGATTCTTGCTCGCTGCCAGTGATACAAGCGCGTCCCTTTGCCTCTTGATGAATGTCAGATGTCGACAGATGGGGCAAGCGATGGTGTCCCTGATGATCCCGTCGCTGTTAATGCTGACCAGCGTTTTCACCAAGCAGTCGTGACAAAATACATGTCCGCAGCTTAAAGTCCGCTCACTGCCCGACAGGCTCTCGTAGCACACAGGGCACTCATGTGCGTCTTCTTGGCTGTTGTCCTTGTAAAGTGCCATATAGAGGTAGAGGATGCTAAAAAGGTTGTCTAATAATAACTCTTTGGTAAAGACACACTGAGGTGCTCCTTTGTTCCCTCATTGACTCTGCGCGGTTGGGTGGAGGGCAGAGAGACTAGTTTAACAGGGCCTGTCACTGAGTTGACAGCAGAAACCTGTCTAATTGGATCCATTTCAACATCTGAAATGGTGCATAATTTATCACCTTCGAACCAACAGAGTTCTATCAAAGTGAGTGAAAGGTGTTATAAGTACGGAAGAAGATTAGGGACACTAAAAAATATATAAAGTTAACTTATTTTTTAAATTTTAATTCAGTTTAATATGGGCAAAAAGTCCGAATTCTGACTTTTTTCTCAGAATTCTGATTTTAATCTCAAAATTCTGACTTTTTCTCAGAATTCTGATTTTGATCTCATAATTCTGACTTTAATCTCAGAATTCTGACTTTTTCTCAGAATTCTGATTTTAATCTCAGAATTCTGGCTTTTTCCTCAGAATTCTGACTTTAATCTCAGAATTTTGACTTGTTCTCAGAATTATGAATTTAATCTCAGAATTATGACTTTTTCTCAGAATTATGACTTTTTCTCATAATTCTGATTTTAATCTCAGAATTCTGACTTTTTCTCAGAATTATGACTTCAATCTCAGAATTCTCACTTTAATCTCAGAATTCTGACTTTTTTCCTCGGAATTATGACTTTAATTTCAGAATTCTGATTTATTTTTTCCCATATTAAACTGAAATAAAATCTAAAAATCAGTTAACTTGTTTTTATTTTTCAGTGGCCCTAATCCTCTTACGTATATATGAATTGGCTTCAACTCATAAAAGTTTATTTTACAGAAGAATGATATGACTATTCAAGTATGTATAATCAAGTAAGTATAATCAAGTATGATTTTATCGGTGGTGCATTTTCTACTTTTTTTTTCAGTAATTAATTTAATGAAACATTTAGATGTTTGATTAAAACGTATCTCTGTGAAACCTTTAAAAGTTGTACTTGATTGTTTATCTTTTAAATTTTGTGTTTTGTCTTCAATTACGCCCCACGTGGTTACTGAAAGAATTGCTTTTTACACAGTACTCAAGATGAGGGGGAAAGGCATCCCCCTTCTTAAAAAAAAATCGTAAAAATCATCCCCCGTCTTAAATGACCATCCTCTGTGACATTGTATTACTAAATGTGTGAAATTTTTAATATATATTAACAGTGATGGCAATGTTATTGCCCTTTCAACATTTGGCTGAGCAAAGTAAATAAAACAAAGAAGTGGCCTTTTTTGTTTTACAGCTTTTTATTTTACTGTACATCTTTAATCAGGGACTTAAATATTGCGTTTAAGATAAATAATTTCAAATTAAATTTTTTATTTATTATTTTGTTATAATTGTGGTTAAACTTTTTTTGAAGCACTAATTCTTTATTAATTTTATTGGGAATACCTACTTTATCTTTGTTTTTGTTTGTTTAAACCACTTTGTATTGTATTTATATTCTGATCCCTTTATATCTAACCTCAATTTGCAGATTTTATATGTTCAATAAAAATATCCATGGGTGAAACCTAACTGTTGTGTTTTTCATGCTAAAAAAACAAAATGTTTTTGCATCCATATTTTTGTTATAAACTTTCAGTAGAGTTATAAGTATCAAATAAATTCTAGACTCTAAGGCACAGCATACAGATTTGGATCAGGGTCAATCTACAATTTAAATATAAAAAATGCATGATATTTTGTTTTATTTATTTTTTTTTACCTTTCTTGTTACTTTGATATCATTGAGTTTCCCTCACCATCATGGTTATTTCTGTTCTATTTCAGATATACTCTTTATTAAAGCTTTTGGCATACACTAAAAAATAAATAGGCCTGCTATAATTTTCAACACATGTTTATTGTTAAAAAAAATTGTATTGGTTGTATAATATTCAAATATAAGAAGTGATGAGAAATGATCCTAGACATGATGTAGCATATTCTTTACATATGATGTTAAGTTTTTAAGGACTCAGGTCGCAGTGAAGATATGAGCAATTGGTGTCTGAAAAAAAACTGTAATGTTAGGTTAATAAACTATCTAAAGAGACTTTAAATGTCAATGCCTAAATTGTCCTGTGTTTTTTGCAATATTACGTTTTTATATTGTTAAAACACTTTACATTACAATATTGTTATTTAATTAGTTTTAACTATTCAGTAATGTGTTATTTTTATACATTTTTCTAGGGTCCATATTTGTGTGACAATTTTTTTCTATAATGTTTTTGCTGTTGTATAGACCAGAATTTCCCCATTGTAGGACAATAAAGGCATTTTCTATTCTATTATATGGGCTTTCATCTGTGTTTAGTTGTTTTTGTTTTGTTGTTTTTGTTATCATCTGGCTATGGTTTGTTGTCAGGTTACTCCTCGTCTAATTGTGCGCCATCTTGTGGTCACTTACAAAACTCCAGCTGTCCTTCGAAGGAAAAAAAAATCATGAAAAGGAGTGGCGCTTCTCTCATTCCGGGGCTTACGCAACGTGAATTGACGTCACCGCGTATGTCTTCTGTGAGGATTTACGTTAGTTCCGGGAGACGCGTTGGCAATTTCCTAAACACATCCCAGTTAGCTGTGCCAGTTTCGGAGGCCAGGCTCTACCGAAGGAGTGCGGTTGTTTTTCAGTTTCGCCGGTTAGACGGAGCTTTACTGAGACAGAGGACCAGACACCGGGTTGATATGAGCAGGTACCGATTTATCTAATCATACACAGCTTACTGCTTGGCCTGTTGGCCAAATGTCCTTTTGCTGCTTCTCTTTTGTGGACGCTTAAATGCTCATATTTCAATTGAACTGCGTAGCTTTTATCTTTCTTTTTTTATTTTCTGTTAAAACTCTGTATGTGGAACTTTCTAGAGCCTTAGTCGAGAAGTGACCTCTTCACCGCTCAGCTAAATATGTTGTCTAAAATAGAAAGCTGGTTGTTGCCTGTACCTTCAGTAGCTGTTAATGTTTAAAGTACTTTCCTGTTGTTTTTTTTCCTTCCTGATATTCACACCTGAAGATCCTAAATAAAATGGCAGTGTATCAAATGATAAAATCCTTCCCCAAAGCTTTTGGGTGAAGCACCACCGCACCCTGTCAGACCCTCAGGGGACTGTTATCTGTAGCTCCAACTAAAAAAGACTTAATAAACATTTAATAGGAATTGATGTAATCCTGCTGATCTCATCAGCATCTGAAAGGGATTTTTATATATACACTCATTGACTGAGTCAGAGGACAGATTCTCCAGACCTTCCTCTTTGTCCAGGTTTTGTTATAGCAAATTAACACATTATTTATCATCCTTACTGCTGCAGTCTCTTTCCTCCAGTGTTTCATTCTTAATCTGTTACATGATCAGGCTTGACATCTCCTGGTGGTGTTTTTATGTTACCTAAACTGTGTCTATAAAGCAGGGTATTTTAGCTCTGATAAAGCAACATTTTTGCTGCTAAGAAGCCCATTAATTCATGATGTTTTGATCTGTTGCCATGGCTACTCTTGATTATCACATGTAATTGGTTGATCTCCACATATCTATGAAAACTACTGTACTGTATCCTATCTATGAGTTTTTACTATGTGTTATTTTTGGTACTTTCATGGACTGCCTGTAAGTCTCCCTTCTGTCACATGATACACCCAACTTGTGATGTCAGATATATTTGGGAAAAGGCCTCCAGCTTTCCACTGTTTTGATGTTAAAGCTGCATACTAACACATGTAGTCGGTTAATCACTGATGAGGCAACCTCTGAAGAATGTCTAAACGGAAGCGCAGGCGGTCTGTCCTCAGTCGCCCACCCGCTGTGTGTAGAAAACTACACATCCTCTTTGGTCTAAGCCAGATAAGGCAAAATCTAAAGTACCTCAAAACCCAGAGCTGTCTTATACACACATCACCCCTTCATGCTTTTTAGATGGTAGTCAAATTAAATTCCCTAAAGTTTTTTTTAACCGTTTATTTGTGATTGATAGTTTTCCTTTTGAGGTTGTGTGTAAAAAAAAAAAAAAAAAAAAAAATGACTTTTTGTGGGAATATCAGAAAAACAAATCCATGAGATGTTGCAAAAAAAAAAAAAATCTTTATTTTGTTCTGAAAACACTTTTTTTAATATGTGCTGTTTGTGAAAGATAAAAAGGTTAATATGCCGTCAGAAAACAGATTTAACCATCTGTTATTTTGTTACTCTTCTAACTGGAGAGGGGATTTAACAGAAAAAGCATTTAGGCTTTTATGGAAAGCCTGTGTCACCTTTAGGGCTGAAACTGTTAATCGTGATTGATTTTAAAATTATCGTCCACTAATTTGGCTATTTAAATTGTTTACAGAAATCTCTAACACATGGTATAAGCTGTAAGAGTATTATACTCAAAGAGGTAATTATGCAGAAATGGTAGAAAAGAAAAACATGTATCAATGCTTTGCATTTATGATGAAAAACCTTTTTTTGTCAGTCCATAAGTTCTATCCATAACCCCTAAGGTGGTATAGTTATAGCTTCAGCTGGATTTTGCTATCCATTTATTAATTGTTTAATCAAAAAAAAGCTAATGGACAGATTATCTGATCAGCATAATAACTGTTAGTTGCAGCCGTACACTGTTAAACATTAACTACTCTTAGTTCTAATGCTATTTCTGGAAAGTGTTCGCCCTAAAAGCTTTATGAATCTTTAAATATAACATAATGTTTTAATGCGTCAGCCGTTAACAACTAACTGACCTCATGCTGGTCATGTTGTGTCAGAATGACCTGACTTAGCCGTCAAATAGATTTTATTAGGTATGAATGTTGCAATTTCACTGGTGCCTTTGAGATAAGAAGGGAATGCTTCTTGTTAGCTTCAACATGCCAAAGAACTTAAAGAGTGAAAGTGTTAAGAATGTCTTTTCTTCTCAGGTTTGCCTGATATGGACACAGAGATGATTCCTAAATTTTCATCAAAGGATGAGGAGGTTGATTATTGGAAAACTCAAGCCCTGAAGTATAAAAAGAGGTAGGTCTTGCTCATATGACTTTGTTTTTATAGTGTTGATATAGTAACAGCTTGTTTTCATGTTTGGTTCTCAGCCTTTTGTGTCTGTAATTATAGATTTTTTTCTTTTCTTTTT